CGGGTGGGCCCAACAGCATCATACATTGCAATGTCCTACCTGCAAATGAATACTTCAGCTTTAATCATAACAATACAAGAGCACACAATAGATACAAACTCAAGGTTAACCACACCAAACTTGACTGCAGAAAATACGACTTCAGCAACAGAGTGGTCAATGTCTGGAATACTCTACCTGACTCTGTGGTTTCTTCCCCAAACCCCCAAAATTTTAACCTTAGACTGTCTACTATTGACCTCACCCACTTCCTAAGAGGCTGTAGGGGGCGTGCATAAGCGCACCAATTGTGCCTACCGTCCCTGTCCTATTGTTTTTTTAATTTTTCTTATATGTATCCATTTCATGTATTCATAACTATGTTTATACTTATACCCATTATCTTGTAAGCAATTGACAAATCAAATAAATACTAAATACTAAACTGGTTCGGTCTTCGCTGCTCATCGCTGCTACTGGCTCTGCAGAACTGGGCTGAACCGGTAGAATACCACCACTGGGTTAGGGCCATGTTAACATTTGGATGAAGTTCATGCTTTTTTAAAAAACAGTCCTTAATTTGAGGATTTGTGTGTGGGCAGTGATGCCTACTGATGAGTGTCCCAAAGGTAGGTTGTTGTTTTTTTCAGAGAACTAAAGATGCTTCTTGGATGAGAAGTGAAAGAAAACAAAAAACCAAGAAAGTCCAGTTGCCTTTTGGAAAAAGCACATTTGGGACAACCATGATGGGAATGATTGAGAATCTCCATAGATATTGATGAGTAGCAGTGAGAATATGTATCAGGGTGAATTGTTGTTTCCTTAACACCTTCATTTCTTGTTCCCTTCATTTGAAAAAAAGTACAGGATATTTCTTTCTTTCCCTTTCAGCCATTGTTCCTCCCAGCCACTTCTACTTTGAAATCTGAGAATTTTCAGTTCTACTTGGCCTCCTACATTCACCAGGAAATGCGAAGGCCAACCCGGTGCACAATAATTCTTGGTATCCATTTTGTATCAAGGCAGAACTGAATCTGTTGGAGGAAATCTTATTCAGAATGGATTTCTTTAGAGGAGTAAAGCAGAATTACTGATTATAACAACTCATACTTTAAAAAAATACTTGTAGCCATTTTATTCTATATGTATCTGTTATTTCTATTTTCTGGAAAATATTTTGAGACACTATTGTTGAGACAAGAAGCATTTTCTTCTGTTTTTATTCTGCAAGCGTTCATAAGTAGGTAGACAGACAGACAGACATTTTCCCCCCTTAACTGTAACTTGCTGACTGCATTTTAGCTGCAGGCAGTTTGAGCTCTTTATTTTTGGTAGCACTAGAGGTAAAAAACTAGGCTTGAAATTCCCAGGAGATTATCAGAAATGCTTCAATAGTCTGTTTACCTAGCATGGCCTCAATAATAATAGATACATGTGATTACCTATGCTTTAATTATTTATCAAAGCTTCGTCATGATTATCATGAGCAAAGCAACATTCCTTTTCAGCTGACTATACTCTATATGATCTAAAGATCATATAGAGCTGAAGACTTCCATTTCTTAATCCTTGTGTTTCCATTTCTTATTGTTCACCGCCCCAGTGTTGCATGCCCTTAAATCCCCTCCCCCTTTCCCCTCCCCTGGCATTGTATATAACAAAAGATAGCCATGCAATATTTTTGAATAGCTTTTTGAAAACAGCATGGAATAAAAGCATATCTTTGGGAAATACGTGGCAAACAAATGGAAAGAACAATACGCTTATGTCCTCTTAAAAATCCCTGGGCTAGACACTAAGCACACTGGAGTCTGATAGGAGACATGGTCACAGGGAAAAAGAAAAAGAACCTTACCCTGCGGGGAACTCAAATACATTTTGTTGCAATGGAAATATTTATAGTCAACTATTTACTCAGACAATTCAATCCTCCCCCAAGGCTCTATGGCACTAGGTTACAGATGCTACTCTATAAAGAATGCCTTTCATTACAGTCACATTTCCATTCTATGTCACCATAATGTTAAACATTATATTGATTTTTAGAAGAGCAAGTAAGATTAATGGTGGAACTGCAGTGTGATGATGTCCATAGATCTCTTGTAATATTCATTTCTTCCCATTTAGATCACATCTCATTTCCATGGACAACATACTTAGTGCTCTCTTCCTTGATTTTAACCCCACAACATTTGTGTGAGGGAGATTATATTGAGAAAAAGGAAGAAGAAAATAAGTTGCATGTCCTAGCCAGTTTAACTACTAATTTATTTTTTGTGCGCATTTATTAATCTTCAGAAATGAAACATAAGAGAAAGGAAAGATGAAGAAAGCCCTGCAGAAGTCCATGCCTCTCTGTGAGTCTATCCTGGAAACCCAAACATCCAAGCAGGCATGGTCCTTGTAAGCTAGTTAATGGAAACTGAGAGTAGAAGTCAGGAGTGTATGAGTCAATTTAGTGTAGTAGTTAAATCACTGGGCTAGAAACCAGGAAACTGGAAGTTCTACTCCCATTTGGTTGAGTCACCCTCAGCCCAAATCACCTCACAGTCACTCTCACTCAATTCATGTTGTAGGGTTGTTATTGTAGGGGAGAATAGGAGGAGGTAAGAATACTGTGTGTGTTTGTTTTCCCGAGTTATTTTTAAAAACAACTCAGGAATATAAATAAATAAATAAATAGGAAAAAATAACCTTTCCCATCAGTAATGTTCTGCCCTAATAGAAGAAAGCTATTGCTGAAGTGGGAAAGAGGTGGAGTCTTAGAAAGGAGGTTGTGGAATTTTCTTTTTTATTTTATTTTTAAGTAAGAAGGTAAAAGTGACAACATTTGCCATTTAGTGACATGCTAGCCTATACACATAACAAGGCAGACATTGGTGGAAGCAGAAAGCTTTGTGTCTAGCAAAAATGCTTTATTTTAGAATACTTTTCCAGCTGAAAATAACTCAACCCTCTGATTTATTACTACCTTATCATTTTCCATGCTGTGTATCAGGCAGGCAGGTGGAGAGACTGGATAATGGAATGTGACTATCTAGCTGCAAATAATTCTTGCAAAGGAGTGCAGCTTAAAATTGAAAGCAAAGGCTTCTTTTGCTTGGCTGTTAATAATACAAGAAAAACAAATCACAAGTGTTTTGAGTTCTGGGTTAGGATTAGGATTTTGAGAATCCCTAAAAGCCCATGAAAGAAAAGGAAGGAAGGAGGGACATAGGCACTTAAATGCATCACTAAAAATCTGAAATTGTTAAACCTACTGTGGTCCCTAACTGTCATGTGAATTATGAGTCTCTCCTCAAATCCATTTCCCCTACCCTGAGGCAAACAAAACCTGAAGGTATTATAAGGAAAGGTGCACAAGGAATTATGCCAAGGAAAGTTCTAGATTTTTCACATTTAGGAAACACAAAGCACACTTCCTGAGCAATGAGGCAGCAAATATTTTAATAAAGCAAATTACGGCCAGGAATGGCTGACTTCAGCCCTCGTTTAATATAATTAAGGGCAATCCATTAAAATATTTAATTGAAATGTTGGCAATAAATGTCATTATGATGTTTGTGGGTTATACCAGTTTATTCTATCTGAGTTTGAACATATGGTGATATACCATACATATATTCCTTAATAGTCATCAGAAGCATTTTACAGCCCCAGAAATAAATTTCTAAACATTTTTTAAATTAAACAATCCTTTTCTCTTTCCTCCTTTTCTTCAACTTCCTCCTTTTCCTAAAATGGCACAGCTTCAAGTAGGCCTTATAACAAAACAGTAGAATAAGAGAATTGGAAAGGACCTTGGGGGTCTTCTAGTCCAAACCCTGCTCAAGCAGGAAACCCCATGTCATTTCAGATAAATGGTTGTTCAATCTCTTCTTAAAAACCTCCAGTGTTGCAGCATCCACAACTACCGGAAGCAAGTTGCTCCACTGATTAATTGTTCTGTCAAGAAATTTCTCCTTAGTTCTAGGATGGCTCTCTCCTTGATAATTTTCCACCAGATATTTCTTGTCCTGCCCTCAGATGTTTGGATAATAGGTTGACCGCCTCTTTTTTGTCACAGCCCCTCAAATAAGAAGACTACTATCATGTCACCCTAGTCCAGGGGTGTCAAACTCATATTGTTATGGCAGTGTCACATGACATATCAGCAGGGGTGGGATTCTGTCCAGTTCTATAGAACCGGATGTTAGGGCTCCTGGTAGTTCGGAGAACCAGAAAAATGTGCCCCTGTCTGGCCCCGCCCCTCTCCGCCCACTTCTCTGCTCCCTGCCCAGTCAGTCCCTATTGCACATGCGCAACATTGTAGGTATGCGTGACATGCCTGCAGCCTTCTTTTGCCCACCGGGCCAGCCATTGCTTCCTGCCTTTCACTCCTGGGCAGCAGAAAAGCAGCCCAGTTGAATCCTGTTTCTCTCTGCTGCCCAGGAGTCATTCCCAAAGGGAGGGGCCTTGTAAGCTTTTTGCTCTGCCGGGAGAGGCTCTGCCAGCAAGACTAGGTGAAAGAAGCAGCCCAGAGCTGATCTGCCTGCTCACAGGTAAGCCTGCCCTTCCCTCACTGTCCCCAGGCCTCGCCCAGCATACCTAGCTACCGTCCCCAACATCCCCGGGTTCGGCTGGCCAGCTAAGCTACCACACAGTGCTCTCCCAGCTCTCCTTACCTCATGGCAGGCAGCAGACCGGCTGCTGCCCATAAGCAGTGCCATCAAATGGGAAGCAGCCAGGTCCGCTGCCTCTGCCACCCGTGGAGGTGCTTTGGGAGGGCCGGGGCAGTGTGTGTGTGTGTGCTCATGGCCTGGCTTTAAGCACACGGAGGTGAATAAAGCAGTAGGGCCAGAAGCATCCGCTGCCCCAGCCGTCGCTGCATGCAGAACAGAGGTGCTTGGGGGGGCTGGGGCAGTGTGTGTGTGTGTGTGTGTGTGCTCGCGCGCACTCATGGCCCAGCTTTAAGCATGGTAGGCAGCCAGGTCTGCCACCTCTGCCACCCACGGAATGCTTTGGGAGGGCTTGGGCTGGTGTGTGTGTGTGTGTGTGTGTGTGGTTTTATACTTGGAATTCTTAGCCTTCGCCTTAGTCTTCCCCGGCGACCCACTCGGAGCGATGGTTTTTGCTGATGCTAGCGATGGTCAGGAAAACGACCTGACCATCGCTCTGAGTGGGTCACCAGGGAAGACCAAGGCGAAGGCTAAGAATTCCACATAGGTGGAGTGTCGCATCCTGGAAGCGCCAACAGAGCAAGGGAATGAGGACATGTGCGGTTGGAACCAGCCCTAACCATAACCCTAATCCTGTTCATGAACATTGTGAACAGCATCATCGGGGTTAGCGTGCTGACAATACCCTTCTCTTTCCGACAGGCATTAATGGCTATTATATAAAATGTATAGGGTGAATATTCACCTTAGGAGCAGTAGCGTGGCATGCTTGTTATATTGCTCAAGGTTTATGTTTCATTTTTTTATTCTTATTTCGTATTCTTTTTAAATTGAGTTATATTGTCTGTTCTTAGAACAACTATCCTGCATGTTTGATATAAGAGGATAGTAAGAGTTCTCTTGATACATGAATTCCAAGGTTCATTATTTCTTTAATGCTTTCTCTCTCTTATATTGTCTGGTCATGTTTGTTATAACCTGGTGCTAAGACACCTGTTCATTTGTATGACTTGTCTGACAGGCACAAAAATATAGAATTTGGGATTAAACTTTGTTTTATAAATTGAGAAATTACAAACTATTTCTGTTCATCATTAAAGTTATCTTATATCTACATGGGAGTCATATAAATCTTGTTTCTTTTTTTCTATTTTTCCTCCCCCCACCCTCACCATTTCCATGGATGTTGAGAGGCTTTCAGATTGTGGAATCCAATGTAAAGTAGATTTAAGAAACATGTGCCCCAGATTGTTTCATATTAAGAAATTATCTATGTATTTAAGCTCCAGATACATTCCTTAGGAGTCATTTTGGTGTAGTGGTTAAGGCATCAGGCTTGAAACAAGGATGCTGAATTGTAGTCCCACCTTACCCTAGTGCCTAGTCCCACCTTAGGCCCAAAGCCAGCTGGGTGACCTTGTGCCACTCACTGTTTCACTAGCTCTAGGAAGAAGGCAGTGGCAAATCCTTTCTGAAATCTTGCCAAGAAAACTGCAGGGATGTTTCCAGGAACATGTCAGGATTGACTTGAAGGCACACACAAAAGATAAAGTTTGCACTACATAGCTTTACAGAATAAAGAGCCCTGGAATATGTTTTTTGCAGTAATTAAGAAAAAAGTAAAGTGAAATTGCCTGTCCAATGAATAAGTGGCATACATATTATAATAAATGAATATGCAACTTCCTGAAATTCCCAGCCATTGCAACCACTGTTTAAAAGTTGCTCTTTTTTGATAAAAAATCAATATTTACATAAATATTTATAATATTTACATACAAGCCATGCCCAGCCAGTCACATGACCACCAAGCCACACCCAGTCAGCAAACCATGCCCAGCCAGTCACATGACCACCAAGCCACACCCACAAATTAGGCCACACCCACAGAACTGGTTGTTAAGAAATTTTAATCCCACCTCTGCATATCAGGACTTTTTCTCTTCACTAAACTGGGCATGGGCATGGCCAGCACGTGACACATCCAGTCCAGGAATTTGACAGCTCTGCCTTCTCTTCTCCTTCTCTTTTTGTTAGACTAATTCCTGCAACCATTCATCATATATTTTAGCTTCCAGCCCCCAGTCATCTTCGTTGCTCTTCTCTGCATCTTTTCTAGAGTCTCAACATCTTTTTTGTATCATGATCAAAACTGGATATAGGATTCCAAGTGTGGTCTTATCAAAGCAGTATAAAATGGTATTAACACTTTGTGTGACCTTGTATCTCTCTGTTGATGCAGCCTAAAGACTCCATTGGCTTTTTTTTGGCACTGGCAACACACTGTTGGCTGTTATTTAAGTTATTGTCCACTGAGAGTCCTTAATTCTTCTCACAGGAGTCTTCAATTCCTCTCACAGTTACTGCTTCTGAGCCATGTACCATTCTATACCTGTGCATTTAGTTTTTCTTGCATAAAATCCTACTTTTTCAACCACTGAATTTATTTTTTATAAGGCTCAGGGTTCAAGTCTGTCAAGATCCTTCTATATCTTAAAGCTATCTTCTAAAGTGTTGGCTATTCCCCTCAGCTTGGTGTCATCTGCAAATTTAATGAGTTCCCCTTCTATTCCCTCATATTCAGACACTGAATGACCTCTACTTCATGTTCTCCTAATGTGGATGTGGATCTGGGTAAACATGAATGATTTTATCTGCACAATGGCTTACCTTCCCCTAAAAGTGGCAACCTATCTTAATCAGCAGCACAATGCATTGTGGACTCAATGAGAATGGGAAAATATAGATGTTTCACCAAAGCAGTTGTATCCTGAATATGATCTTTTACCTGTGTTTGATCATATTGATCATAAAGATCTAATCTATACCACTATTCCTGTGTGTATTACTTCTGATGCTTCACTTCCTAAAGGTGCACAGTCAACAATGGAGAATCCCTGATCAATAATAACCAAGTAGCTTTTTAGGGTAATCACATCTAACAACCTCATCAATTGCTTCTCATGCACTTTCTAGAAACCTAGTGAATCCAAAAGGAGCCTGGTGTGAACCTCTTCCTAGGCTTTTCTCCTTTGAAAGGTTCTTGGCACAAGCTGGCTAGAAAGTGATGTTGCCATAACAAGGGACCAATAATCCTTCAGATCACAGGCTAGATAAAAACCTGATTTAATATTTGTTCAGTTATATGAATTGCATCAGATATCAATTGGGATAAGTTCATTGTTGCCATGGAAGCTTTACATGTCTGAGTCACTGTAGATCTTACATCCAGGACATGAAAAGTAAAGTTCCCAAAAACATTAGCCTGGAGAAATTCAATATCAGTTTCACAAAAAGATTCTTAAGCTCAGTTAGGGAAACTGTGGAGCAGCAGGAAGATCTGTTCTACAGCAGGATCCCTAACTGTTCCTACACTCAAGTTTAGTCATAGGATGGTGTAGAACTATGCCCATGACCAGTACTGATCTTGAAACCTTAGCTACTGAAACATTTGAAATCCTCATGAAGAAATCTCTGATAGATGTATCCCACCTCACCCCAGTCTGTATTCAACCAAGCCTCAGGTTATATACTAGATCATATGCTTGCTATTTTTTCCACTAAATCATGAAAGAATATAATCATATTGGAAATAAACCTGATATGTATTCATTAGCAATAGACAGATACCATAGTAAACAGCAATTCTGCATGTGGGGAGAGCAGGATATGGTCCTGTCCCATCGTTGCCCCACTGAAATTTAAGAGCCATGCATTTATTAATGTGGCATTACAAAGACCGATGCAATTTAAAATATGGATGTAACTTTGGATTATAAGTCTCAAATCTGAAGCTTACTATTATATGAATAATTATGAATTTATCAAGCTCTGTGAGGGGCAGATATGTAATATTGGAAACACAGAGCAGTCCCAGATTTACAAACTTCAATCAGCAACACATGCTTACTTTCTGTTTAAAAAAATGGATCCCCACTGATAATGGAAATTGATTATACAAATAATAATATTCCATGCAGTCAAGGTTTAATGATGCGTTTTAAAAAGTAGTTTGAGTGATTTTCTATCAGTGTTTCCTTTCGGGAGGTGTATCTTTATAGCCTTTTTCTTTATTCCTTACTTTCTTGTTTTGCCCCTTTTTTGTTTGTTCATTTTATTCCAGTAAGCCATTGTAAAAGAATGGGGAATTTTCAGTTAAGGGAAAAAGTTTTGGAACCCAGTATGTTCCCTTTGCATTATGGGATACATTCATTTGCAAAAAAAAAAGCTGTTGCCTCTTAGCTGAAAAGAAAATGAATGTATTTGAATCTTCTGACTAGCCCATAGAAGCCTCTGAGAGGCACTTCACCCCCCAAAGGGCAGAAGGACATAATTAAAGAATTATTCCCTTCAAATGTATAAATTGCAGCTACTGAAGCACTCCTTACTCTCGACAACTGTTTCTCACTGTGCCAGAATTCTTTTATTTCCTAAAGTGTTTAAAGTTGGGCAATGAATAAATAAAAACAGTTTTTAAAGCAGAACAGGTTTTCTTCTTAAACTGAACTATATGTATCACCATGGATACTGTGTTCTATTTCTAGGTTGAGTCCTTTCCTTGCAGCTAAAAGGCCAGTAAAAGAATTGCTGGAAACAGATTTCAGATCTAAACTTTTCATCATTAATTAGCATATTCATTACTTCACTATAGTTTTGAATGCAGACATGTTATTTTGTTTTTTTTTACAATGAAAACAAGTTCTATAGACAAGGAGCTGGCTAAGATAGCATCCTTAGCAACTAGTCTCCTGTGAATTTAAAGTCCTTTTCAGTAATCTTTCTCCAGGTGTCCCAAATAGGTGGCATTCAAAAAAATTGCTCATGAATTCTCTCTAAGGATGTGTATGGTCTCAGCTATATAATTCAATCTCTAGTGGCTCAACCTGAAATTTTTTATCTGACTCTGATGTAATCCTAACAAGCAATGGGATCTCTGCTTGTTTGAAGAACAGTTCCAATCCCTATTCTTAATGCGACGAAATACATATGGAAAGTGTGTGTGTGTGTGTGTGTGTGTGTGTGTGTGTATCACATCACGAAACTCAGGAGGTTACACCACAAAACCTCAGGCTGTTACAACACAGCCAATGACCCAGGAGATTACAGAACAAGACCCAGGATGTCACAACAATAGAACTCAGAAGGTCATCATGCAGCCCATGACCCAGGTCATTACAACCCAGGAGGCTGATAGACACACAGCCAATACCTCAGCCACACATGTTCTTATGAAAAAGCCAACCAATCTGCAAACATCAACTCCAGCAACCAATCAAGAAATAACAACATGTAATAACAACATGAAACGTCGCCAACTCTCAATCTTACTCAGGAAAAGACCTGAACTCGCCTGCATACCTGTAACTGTGAAAATCTACGAAAACAAATATATATATATATATATATATATGTATGTATGTATGTATGTATGTATGTATGTATGTATGTATATGTATATGTATATGTATATGTATATGTATATGTATATGTATATGTATATGTATATGTATATGTATATGTATATATATGTGGATCTTTGGTTATTCG